AACCTGGTGTGAGAGACTCTGTGAGTGTCGCGGGACACTCTCCAGTATAGCTCAATGGATCGCTGAGGTGCGCAAACCGTCACACCACGGTAAGGTCCAGTCTCTTCGTGACGGTACTTGTGGAAGGGTTCCATTCTTTCGGTTGTTTCGTCCGATAGCTATCTCCATTTGAGTATCGCGGTTGAGTCACTGGTTCCACACGCGCACAACCCCTAACGCACCTCTACACCTCACCACGCTTCCCACAGTTGTGGTGATGAAATGTTTGTCAGCAACTTGCCTTGCTCAGCTCACACGCGAAGTATCATCTATGCCACTTGAGCCACCAACATTCGTCTCAATAACAAACTGATCCATGTTTTTGTAGCTGAATAGCACGTCTGCGCATGTCTGCCTTTCTGAAAAAAGCACTTGTAACTCCACGTTTGTGGTTCCATTCGCCTTCATTATTTACGTAATGTTGCTTTTACTCAAAGAGAATGGAGCTGTTCCACTTCTTATCATACGTTTACTCGTCTGTCTGGCAACAGTTAGATGACGATCGTTCTGCAGTTGATAAACTGTCTCGAATTTCCACTTTTCTCTTGTGTTTCCTGACGCCGTTTTGTGGTGAAAAACAACTCCTATTGCGAGCTCAAGACGGCTCGGTTGCTGACCGAAAAGTCCGCGGTTCGAACCTAACCCCGGCATTACAACTGTTCCTGTCTAGGTTGGGGCAACCTGGCAGTACCTCAGTCTCCATGCTTCCTTCGACTGCCATGGCAGCTAGGCACCGAAAGGGTGCTACAGCTGAACGATTATTATTATCATGGCCTCTTTAATTTTGAAACATTGAACTCCATGATATGGGAACACCTGGGCAGATTGCCTAACCATAGGTTTGTGCTTCTCAGTTTGAGGTAAACCTTCAGCTGTTCTACCGGAAAACGTTTTGTTTTGTCGCTTGTCTACCCACCCGTGGTTTTCACACAGTTATTTTGCAGGCTCTCCATGTTGCCGTTTTTACTCTACTTTCATACCTTTTCCATACCTTTAGCGGTGCACTTATCAAACCTTGGCTATTCACCGAAATACGGGACTGTCGCACGTGGGACATTTCGGCTAGCGAACGTCTTGACATTTTGCGTGATTTTAGCAACTACGGACTTGAGTTGTGGGGATCGGATACGCGTGGGGTGGAGACTACTCGGCGGTTCATGCTCGAATGGTTATCCTTCTTGTATCGGTGAGTTGCAGGCCCCGTCTATGGGTTCTTCATTTTGTCTACTATCCCTTTGCGTGTGTACCAGTTGCGCTTTGGAATTGCTATCCGACCTCATATACGGATTGTATGCTCAGCTCGGAGTGAATTCAGAGATATGTTGGTGACTGCGTAAACCTGACGATAGCTAAACATGTATCGATGCTGGTACAAATGTACTGCGAAGGTACATGCTTTATTGCCAAAGCGATCTGAGGCCAGTTTGGAAAGTTTCATCCGAATAAGGAGACGCGGCACACGTCTGTACCTCACTTCACTGAAGCTTTATTTTGCATGCTTAAACCAACAAGATGCTATGGATCATAATCACGCCTAAGTGTTTAACGGACCAATATTTGGTGTTGGGTTGATTGCTGGTAGTGGTGTGCTGTACAGCATCACCTAGAGTCTACTGACCAGAGACTTTTGTACATTCATCTCAAGAGAGCGAACAGCAGGCCGGTTCGCGAGGCTAGTAAAAGTATCTTGCGGTCAGGAAAGGTCTGACGATCAGTGTATGAAGGGACAAGCTACGTTACTGACCAAGGACACTGCAGAAAGCCGGAGTTAATATTAGGCAGATAAGGGTGTTAACGGCATGTGCGTGATGATCGTGCGCGCCATCGACGATGTCGTGGTCCAGGTCATCATCGAACAGGAGTTTCAGCAAAACAACTGGATTAAAGCTTTCAAAGGCACTTCTGGGATTAGTTCTGTTTCTGTTCTCTTTCAAAAGACCTAAGTGGCTGGCAGAACATGAAATGTGGCGAAATTTTAGTGTCAGTGGAACCATGCGAGCTGCCCTCTATCAGTCGGGTGCCTGCCTGACCTACAGAAACAGTTTAAGATAATCAGTAAGTGGGCGGGAAAAATGGGTGGTAAGTTCTTTTAAGATGACTGGAGCTGCATATCAGAACTACAACTCTGTATGGCCTGTGCTGGAGTGTTTTTTCTATTTGTACGTCACCAGGTAGAATGATCATTGACAGACAGACCAAGGGTTTCTGGTAGAGGCTCAGGTGGTGATGAGCCACAGAACTGGTTGAACTTCTCGACATTAACATGCGCCCTGTTATCACAGAATTGCCTCAGAGCACGCCACACCCCATCACGCTGATTTCAATGGACATGCGACTTAAACTCATAATCTAGAGTTTTTCATTTTTGATAGGTATTTTGTTGTACAGCCTTCCAGCTTTCTAAGCTCGTTCCTTTGGTGTTCGCAGCTACTGCAGGTTCGGCAAGAAGGGTATGCCAGCCACAATCGGAATAGAGTGAATTGGCCTAGATACACCGAAAATTCTTTTAGGTAGACTTTGATATGCCGGTAACACGACTAGAGATTTGTCATTAGAAGTAACTATATCCTTATTATCGCCAATTTTCTAAGCCGCTTCTCTTTCGAGCCCATCTCAAAATAGCGCTTGAATAGTCTGTTTAACTTTTCGTGAAGGAAACTACTCACACTTGAAAATTTACTGTGACATCTCGAATATCGTACCAACTGAAACATGAACGGCCTGTGTTCTAAGCCGCTTCTCTTTCGAGCCCATCTCAAAATAGCGCTTGAATAGTCTGTTTAACTTTTCGTGAAGGAAACTACTCACACTTGAAAATTTACTGTGACATCTCGAATATCGTACCAACTGAAACATGAAGCGGCCTGTGTGCAACACATTCAGTTGTAGGACATCATAAACGAGAGATTCAGTTGAGTCTCTTGTGAAAACCAAATTGATCTGCAAATGAGTGTATTTCTCGAAAGTCTGTTTAACTGTTCTTGCCGTAAAATTAAAGATACAGGGTCCTGATCCAATATTCTGGTGTACTGGGTATAAGAAATGTAAATAGTCCACAAACACACCATCAAGTTTGGAATCACAACGTGTAGAAGAGTGTATAGGGTTATGTAGGCCGAACGAAGTCAAGCAAGACGTGCAGAATATGTTGAATTCGCCCTGTACTAAGTATAGGAAGGAGTCGGTAAAGAAAACTTATCGCTTAGCTGTATGATCCATGCCGTTGAGTTTGTTGGACGTGAGAGGAGGTTGACCATTCACATAGGTATATTCATATCCAAACCAAAACGTAGGGCGCTGGCCAACACATTCGAATCTTTTGACTATTACTGCAGATATGTCATCCAGCCTTCGTCCTGTGTGCTAGTTCCGTCGACTGAGGTTTGATTGTGGACGATTCCATTAAGGCCACACAGATGTATTCTACGTGTGAAATTTAACGGGAGAATTAGGGGCCCTTTCTTGTTACTCAGAAGAACACAGGATTGGTCGATAGTGAGATACATATGTTGTACTCCGGGCAAGGAGTCTTATGGAGAAGGTATCAGGAAAACGGCTACTGAGAGGGTTTTCAGTCAAAGCACTTCAAACCAAGACTTTCCATAGGAGCCGTGTGGGAAGTGAAGCCCAGGACACCTTCCTTCAAAGACGGTGTGATAGGTGTTGCAGTGAGAGGACCACAAAAGACTTTTAGTCGAATATTGTGATGCAGTGAGATTGCACTGTCTTACTCGACCCAGCTGGCTGGAACTCCACACTAGTCCCCTCAAATCCGCTTTCGGCTGCTGTCTGGATGACGTTTTAGAAATAACGATGTATGGATAAACTTTTCAAAACTTTTTGGGGCTGCCCAATGGTTCCATGCCTGAAAGACTAACTCACTAATGTCTGAGTCGAATTTCAGAACATGGTACCTGGGTGTATTAGCCTGGCTGAACGCGCATGCTCTCACATATGTTCCAAAAACAGGTGGCAACTTTGAGTCAGGTTTATCCACACCGTTACCATCAGAGGCAGTGACATCAGTGTGCTTAGTTTATCCAGTGAGCGCTGGGTGCCTTTCAATCTTGTCGGACTAATTAAAAGACGATCTCCGTGCGATTGCTCATAGATCCCTTCTAACTGGCTACCGCTGGACCACCTTAGCGAATCTATTTTCACGTTTCTCGTGTTTCGCACATCGAGTCTATATGTATGAATTTATTTCATACCCCAGCTATATCCCATACGGAATATTGGAACGTGTACCTCAGCGGATCAACGAACGTCCCCCTGCATACTTTGGGCGCAATGATCTTGAGACCTTGATGGCCAGTGAGAATTGTGCAGACTGGATAAGAATAAGGTAAGTTCGAGAATCCAATTTGTGACCAATGTTCTGGAGTTTGTTGCACGGTGTCCTGGGAAAAGTTTCCCAATATGGACCGAAGATCCAAGTCACCTTTCCAAGTTGAGGAACAGTCCGTTTCTAACTTTCTCGAAGGCAAAGTAGCGAACAGAATACATGAAAAATAAATGTAACTGCTAAAAACGACCAGTAAAAATACAAAACCAACGCTCTTCAAGATAGCTCAGTGGTTATAGCGCGGATTTACTGACTGGAATGTTCCTGGTTCGAAACCGACTTCTGCATCTCGACTTCTCCCGTCTAGGCTTGGGCAACCTGGCAGTATTCCAGCCCTCGTGCTTCCTTCAGGTGGCATGGCAGCTAGGCACCAAAAGGGTGTTGTAGCTGAGTGCTTATCCATATTTAGACGCACATCTGATTCCGTATTAAGAATTATTGCTCAGTTGGAAATTAGATCTGAAACGAAGCCAGGAAATGAAGTACTTTCCAACCACGCCAATTAAAAAGAGTGAGGACCGTATGATGAATGTTTTGCCAATATTTCACGATCAAACATCGCATTGTGCAAGATTTCCAAAGCTTTTCTCCAAATTGTGCTGGTTGGTCACTTATGGCGCCATAGCAAGGCATTTATTCGCTTTTATCATGTTGTTCGTGATAATTCAACCCTTGCTTCTTTGTTTCATGTTTATATTCCTTGTATTAACCCAGGTGCTAGAAGTGACATACAGCGCGTGTGCATGCACAGCTGTTCTGTCCTTCCTAGATTATCCAGCTCTTTTCGGCGATAGCTAAATAGTTCCGACAGAGAAGCATCAGTGTTGAACACTGATGTCATGCTGTCGATGATGATGGTGATGATGATCCGCTGAGAAGGCACCAGAGTATTTACAAACGTCTAGCGAATGTTCATTCATCCATAAAATGGCGCTCATCATTCGTCTCATCTTGGCTTGTTTTGCTCAACGAGGTCAAGTTCGGAAACTAAATCCCTGTAGATAGGTTTTTATTTCTGCCTGAGTGTCACTCAGTGTAAGTCATTTGTTTTAAGCTTAACGGATGGGTATTTTGTGTCCTCGTGGACAGCTCCACTTATAAATGGACGGACTGCCGAATACATGACGCTCAGGCGGTTCTTCCAACCACTATTTGAACGATGGGCACAACATCAAGATCCAATTCGTGGAGAAAATAAGACTACTTTTAAAATGCGATACTCTGAATGTAATGTTGAAATATTGGTTGTACAAACCTACACCTTTGGGAATTTCCGTCAAAAACTCCTCTCAGGGCGTGTCAAATATCAACTCGAAATCCATAGTGGACAGCCAGACTAGCGAACCGTGGCGAACAAAATCACGGTTTCAGAAACTCAAAGACGAGCAGTTCAGTTCAAAATCAAATGGAACACACAAATAGCTGAGTTTCAGGGTATACAAAAATAAAACGAACTGATTTTACACTCACAGTGTCCTGTACTTGTGGCTCTTAGCTACAGTTGTCAGTTTTTTCTCCGTTGTTTTCGAAGACATTGGATTTGCCAAATTTTAACACAATCCCACGTATTTAACCCAACCAAAAAACAATTTCTGTGGTTGAGTCGAGCAACTTCGCTAATCTAATATGAGGGGAACCGCATCTGAGCTATCCCACACTACTTATTTGAGCTATCCAGCAAAATATCTGAATAAATATACATTTATTGCTATTGGGTACAAAACAGTGAATCACATAAAGCATATATACAGACCTGATACATGTTACTTCATCCAGTCTCACTTGGGATTAAGTCTCACGTAGCTCAGCCGAACCAATGAATTGTTAGTTTCTTTCCAGTGTCCAAATGAGTGTCTGCAGCTGTAGGCACCTGGAAATAATTGTGCTGGGCTGATACTAAGGCCCTTTACCACCCACTTTTATTCGAATAAATTATGGTTGTGCGGCAGCGAAGCATCAGTGTTGAACACTAATGTGCTGTCGATGATGATGATGATGATGATGATTGTTTCCGCCAGCGAAGTCACGATACCAGTTCCAATCCACTTTCCCCCAATAGTCCAAACCAGTCTTGTATTACTAATCCAAAACACAACGGTGACCCTTATGTATTTCTGTCAGCTAGACTCACAGTAGATGTCGGAATACTGATATAATGTTCCTGCAAACAACCTAATTATACTATCTCATCTTGTCGTCTTGTCGAAAAAATACAGTTAACTTTGCACTCCACTTTCGTTCGCAACAACACTCCTTNNACAGACCACGTTTTTCTTCTAAAGATCCCAGTTAGTAGGCCTCCTGTGACACCTGGACTGCGCTCTGAGCTCCACTTATCGGACGTTTATATCGTCATCATGACTTGTTGCAAAATAATCGTTTTTCCTCCCATTAATTCCAGGTGACATTTTCAGTCTTCAGCTATCCTGTGAAAAGGGTTTCGGTACACCTCACTAAATAATTCCGCTTCAAGTTTGAAACCGACAGTACGGGAGCCTCCATTCTAAAATGTTTTTACTTTCTGTGTTCTCCCGACGCATCGTGTTTGGAAAAATTTGCTGCAGACTCACCAAAATGAGGTTACCACATAATGGCGTATTTTTGCAATAGTTTTTTTAATTACTATTAATCACTTAGTAGGTGCACAAGCAATGTTGTTTTTCTTGTGGCTTCCTTCCGACAACATATCAGCTATCTAATATGCGTCAAACAGTACACCATTTTGTGTATTTAGTTGTCTCCAGTCATGTAGTAACAACCCAATCTGGTGCACACAGTGAACCGGTTGAAGTAACTAATCGTCTTTATCTTGTTTCCGCATTTAAGGTATCACCCGATCGATAGCGTCTAGCTTTTCAAGTTCATTTCTGACTGTGATTCTCTCTCTCTCTCTCTCTTGGGTCCGAGCCACACCCCAAATGCGTATACATAAAGCAGAACGAAACGCCCCATAAGCCCTAGTGATAACAAAATATGATACTGCAAAAGTGTGCTGTGAAATCAGCCACATGATATACTACTCACTGCGACTTGCAGACGAGACTTGTTGTTTTTTCTACTCACATGACTTATCGAGCCTCCTGTTGAAATCATCCTCTGATTTGCTATTAGGAACAGCAATGGGGCATGTGTTGAGAGGAATTGTTGAATTTGGTCTGTTTCCAGTTTTTAACCCATCTACTGGTTAGACTTGTTCGTGCTTCTTTCATCTTTCTCAATTTGACCAGCACCCATCCAAGTTTTTGACACATCACCTATAGCTGTTGTTCACTGAATCTGCGATAAAATTCATTATGCCCTTTTTACGCGGACACAGTGAAATTAACCATAGATTCAGCAAATGACTAACCTCACTAGCGTTCAGCACTTAAAGACTGCAGAAGGTTAGTCGAAACCAATTAGTAGGAAAAGCACCACTTTTCGGAGTAACTGAGATGTATTCTTACTACCTATTGAGACACGTTGCTTTTGTTTTCCCCTTATCAGATTAGTATTGAAGAGTAACAATGAATCCGTTGATTACCAAATCGGAATCGAGGCACTAAAGTGCTTTGATATTTGTTTAACACCACTCACAAAGCAGTAAAAAGAAGTGATCATCAAGGTTTCTCATGTGCGAATGAACCTTGGTTCTTCGGTTTGATACAATAGCACGCACTTCGCATCCGCTGCTTACAATATGTAAAGTCTCGTCACGAAGAGACTGAACTTACCGTGGCGTGACCGACTGTACGCCTCCACGACCCTTTGAGCTATAGTGGGGGTTGTCCCTGTGACACTCACAAAGTCTCAGAACAGTTTGGCCTGACCAGCGGAGCCCCCTGACCCTCCAGGTTTGGGGGTTGAAACATGTATGCCGACTTCTTCTGTTAAAATGATGATTCACCCGCATTCCCCTCCAAACACCGCTGCCTTACGATCAGGCTTTTGAACCAATGCTTTTGGTTAGGCCCTTGGTCATCGTACCTAGGTATAGGCACCCTGGCAGTATTCCAGCCAATGTACAACCATGAATTTCACGTTCACGCGAAATCAAGCTGCTCCTGACGCCTTCCTTTTTTCCCTCCCACATTCTTTCTTCCACCTCCCCTCACCCTATTAATAACTTTGCTTGCAAGCCCAGCAGTTAGGAGTGATGGTCTGATCTAAAGGTGCCAGCTTGACGTGGTAGTCGGGCTTGAGTGCTGCAATGATCTCCCGGGCTACACTGGCTGCAACTTCGTTTCACAAGGTGCAACCATGCCAGGAAGGCCAAAGAGGAGCACTCAGATCAAGAACAGCGAGACCCCGTTCGTCTACAAGACGGCCTTGGTGTAGAGTTGTAATATCCTCTGCGATAGGAGTGTGAAGACATAAGGTGCTTCCCTTCATGGAAGCAGCGTTGTTGCCTTTCCCCGAAGAAGCACAGGTTAGAACGATTGGCCCCAAAAATCCGCACGCTCCGATCGCCCAACGGTTGACCGTGACCGCCAGCGCCTTATCCAACACGGTCGAAATACTTTTATAACCAGAGTCCGGTGCTGGAGGGCGATATGTATGCTCAAGGAGGTCGTCCGAGCTCCGTGGAATCACATCTGGGCGGTCGATTCGAACTCGATGCTCGCCGCACAGACAACGGAGATCGATTTTTCCAACTGTATGCTGACCATGAACTGTTTCTGCCAAGTACGAACTTTCAGAATAAACGTTCGCACCGCGTAACCTGGCGGCCACTAACTGCAAATCAATCGTGGACTCAGTTGGATCACGGGGCTATCAGCCACCAGTGGATAGTTACAATTCAAGACTGCCGTTCTGAGACACACCACTAACTGCAAATCGATCGTGGACTCAGTTGGATCACGGGGCTATCAGCCACCAGTGGATAGTTACAATTCAAGACTGCCGTTCCTTCTGAGACACACAATTTGATTTCGACCACACCATGATGCGTGCATACCTGACAGCACGTTTTCTCTCAGGCCCTCATAAGTCAACAAGATGCATGCCAATCCACCACCTTCGGAGAATTACCATGGCTCATCAGCGTCGATCTCAGTTAGCCTAATGACTCTCCACAGTAAACCAATGCTGTGGTGGCAGTGAGCATGTCGATGAAGCATGGCAAAAGGTTAAAGGAGCTATGCTAGCGGCGTTCAGTGCTGTCTATGGGGCTTCCCCGATTCGACCACCGGACCAGTGGTGGTCGAGATCGCTATCTGTGATTGATGCTATGTAATCCATATTAACACTGATCAGCGCAACTGAGTTTGCCGGTAATGCCTTTCACACTTCACTGTCAAGTCACTGTTTGACCTTACCTACCTCCTTTCCACCTTTCACATGGTTGTGCAGAAAGAACCCTACGATGGATTTTCAGCAACCTTATGAGTAGTACATTGCAAAGATATACATGTATCGCGATATTTCAAATATCGTAGTGACTGAAACATGGGGCGGCCTGGTGCAGCACATTCAGTTGCCTGAGAACATCATAAACAAGAGATTCAGCTGGGCTCCAGGTGAGTCTCTCGAAAGAACCAAATTAGTTTGCAAATGGGTGTATATTCGTTAACCCTACGAAGAATTCGGCATACACAGCACGCGGTCAAGCCAGTGCAACCTGTGGAGAATGATCAGTTCATCTGTCTTGGGCTAGTTATGTCTTCCGAAAACTATTCGACGTACTTCAGCATCGCTGATCCGGTGTTCCCACCAGACTCGGGCAATGCTCCGAAGATATTGATGGTCAAGCACTGAAAGTCTTTTGACGCTCTTGGCGTGTAGTGGCCAGGTTTCTGATCCATATAGTAATATGGATAGTAATAATAGTAATATGCACAGCAGCATTGTAAACTCGATCCTCGACGGATAAGATGTCGCTCCTAGGCCACAGGTGACAAAGTTTCACCTTGCAGGACCATTCAAACTGACAATCTTCTCGGCGACGTCCTATTCTGTATTGTAACGTAGCGACGTTCAAAAAGAAATCGGGTAATCGAGGTCTATAATGCTTACCTATCTGGTATATTGCGAACTGAGAATATTTGAAGCCTTCTGCGTAGCGGACGCTGAATTTCGTATTGACACGCTAAACTGTCACTAAGGGTTTAGTCCGATATGGAACACGTCCATCTGTGCCTTTGTTGTTTTCAGCCAGTATGCTCTTAAGATTTATTTTACAGGACTCCTCGTTGGGTTGATATTTATGCAAGTTTTGTGCCTGTCATAGTTGATTTCCGGTGAGTTCAGGCGGGAAAACATACACCGCGACCAGAACTGGATGCGCCCTAACGATTTTGGGACAAATAAATGGGCGTGGTACGCCAGGTTCGCTAATCATTGGTTTTTCTTACCTCGCGGTCCCCATCCACGGTGACGGCAGTCATAAGTGCAACTGAGTGGATCGGTAAGAGCTTTCATGCTCCGTTGCAAAGTCATAGGTTGGCTACCCCTGGGTCGTCTTCTTGCAACACGTGACTGAACGAAGAGACCTCTGTTAAACAAACAGCCTTGTGACATACCAAGTACATGATCTAACCAGCGTAACTCATGGAGCGTAACCGGCTGATCTATCGATGGATAATGAACTTTCCAAAAAACCACCTGGCGTACCCCAGTATTACTGGTGTTCCCGACAGACAACCGCAGTGCTTCGAAGGCGGAGATAGACAAACGCCCCCCTGACCTACCCATTTCGGGAATTGATTTTGTCAGTCCGCCGGGACACATGCAGTTGCCCAGTTAGATGAACGTACCTTCAAACATCAGGCTTGGGTTTGATCGCACCCAGTCTTGCGGTAGCATTGTACGGTTTCCGTATGTAAAATGCCTGCCCGGCCGTGCGGCAGAATTATTTGAGTTATTTTCAAATAGTTTGTGTAGCTAGAAGGTGTGATCAAAGAAGAGCAATAGCGTCTGCGTACTCAACTTGTGAGTGAACCCCCGGGCAATATCTCGATCCCCGAGTTGTTAGAAGCAAGTGAAGAAGAGTCAAGCTGTGCATCGGTTACGAAGTTGAAGAGCAAGGGAGCTTTTGCCTGACACTGTCGAATGTAGTGAACTCAGAAGAAGCCTAGCACTCAATATTCTCAGTAGGTGATCTCTGATATTTTTGCACAATGTTACTCAAATTTAATGTTCCCCCAGAGTTCAGAGGGGTCACACTCAAATAAACATCTCTGCAACGTTTTTTACCGGGAAAGCACATATTCTATCACACTTTTTTGACCAGTTCTCTTTTTTGTTACAGCGAAATGTTGCTTGGTCCAGTTCCCGACGGGTTCACATTCACTCCCAAACACAAAGCCAATGCATACCGATAGCCTTCCACCAGGAAATTTTCAGCTGCTCGTTTTTTATCTATCGTACAACATCTTGTGCACTTGGGATGTCTTTTATTGTGGATCATTTTCCATAATATACAGAGGAACACAGCGAGTATCCGGTTTTTCCTGTTTTCCTGTGGACGGGGATTTCGAGGGTCTGTCTTCCTTGGTGTAATGGGAACTCACGTGATATTTGCGACTCATGGGCTCGATGTTGTTTTGGCTGTTTCCCGGAACACATACCCTTGATGAAATGCACTTATTTGCAAATTACATGAGTGTTGACAAAATATTCAAATGAATCTTTCGTTTGTGATAAAAGTTAGTGTTAATGTAGAACATTAGGTTGAAGGAAACTCTGGGAATACGCTCACCTGATGAGGTAGCGCGAAATTGGTGGTTGACTGTTGAAGAGTCTTCATCAGTTTTATGATTAGCGAATTTCATGGCATTTCGAACATAACGTGGCACTTATCGGCTCATTCAGTTGAAGAGTATCATTTGAGTTTCTCATTACTATCACATCCTGTGTTTCATTTATTGGACGCATTTCTAGCTAGCTTCCATATCTGTTGTCGCTGTGTACCCTCCGATAGCATTTTGTACATCCATTCCATCTGCTCTGACTCCTCTTTAAGAATTTTGCTGAATTGAGAAATTCTCCTGGCTCCAAAACCTTTCTAATTTTTTGTTCTGTATCAGGGATAATGCAGTATTGGTCGTGCAACTACGTTTGGATAATGTCACTCGAGTAACCCTTTACGTGTATGTTCAGTTTACGTCACCACTGATGGATGACTACTGTTGGCCAGATACCGATGCAACGAAGCTCGGCAACTCTTCACGTCAATTCGGACGACAGCGAATAAAATTGGAGTCGAAAACTTCAAGTACAAATATTGCGAAATCTATGATGCATCTGGACAACTGACCTCTGCTTGGTCGTACGGGAGTTTTACCCGGTTGTTCGTGCTTCTTGGCACATTATTCCGAGGTTGAAATAATGATTGTTAGGAGATCCACATATATGTTGAGGCCTATCCGTCGGTGGTTCAGGCAGTTGGTTTTCACTGCCTTCATCCTAGGCGTATGAACGCATTATTGCATCCAAATTTTTGCAATACGCTACCTGGTTGCCTCAGCAGAACGTCGATGCCATACTTGGATAGTTCCGGGTGAAGTGCATGTCCGTCAGGAAATCGGACGTTTTTGTGGGAAATATTCGAATGCTTTATCAGCCGATGGTTTGGTTGGGATAAACCAGCATGACGAATACCGAGTAACGTAGAAAGGAGCCTTCATCTTTAAACGGGGAAATGAAATATTCTGTCTCAAAGATTGTCCAGCTGCCGACGGTTTGTGATGAGCGTCTCATCAAATTGGCTTATTCTTTCATTCATTCCCGTCTCACGACCAGTTGATCAGATCAACCGTTCGTCAAAACTCTACTCTCGGCTTGCTTCGTCATACTTTCTCTTGCAAACTCGTGGATAGCTGAGGCCTGTTTGTTTTCTGTCCTACGTTTTAGTTGAAATAAACCAGATTAGAACGTTGTCTTGCGCAGTTTTCCAGCTAGGCATTCCTAAACGGCTGATGTCGTTCAGCGATATCTCCCTTTCGATACCTCACTGCAAAGCCACCCGCCGACGCGTCCCAGTGAATGTTGAATATGCGACCAATGTATCCTATGTCACTAGATGTCTTCCCGCTCATCTTCACCGATAACTTGTGTCAAAGTTCTCCATGACATCTGTTCCCCTTGTTGGTCGAATTGTGCCATAAATTTGCCTGCCATTGAAATAGATCAATATCACGACCCGTAACCATGCGTTTCGGTTGTACTTATAAGCCAGCTGACATCCGAGCTCGATGAAAATTATTGAAAAGCCACAATAAAGCAATGACACATGTGGTGATCCGTATTTGATATGAAGTTCCAACATGCATATCGGCGTTTTGAATGCGTATAAGACCGCTATGCATGGCCTTGTTCACTACGCAGAATAACGCGAACGTGTGGGTCGGGATTCCACAGCAGTCTTGACTCACTCGGACAGAACGGTGTTACGGCTAGTTACACAGAGATATTCGAGGTCTTCTCTTTCGGGTTGGCCTCCGTTGTAGTCGTTAGGAAGAAAGTTCCAGGTCTATTGATCTATATAAAAAAGCGGATAAGTGGAAGAGGAAATTCACGGATACTTATTGAACAGATAATGCAAAATGGCTTCATTAAAGGTAACTAAAAGAAACCTATATGAGCAGGCAGATAACAACGCTGAATACTTCTGCGACGATGTCACAACTGTAGCTTCAGAAATTAAGTATCCATTTTTGAGAAGTTGCCTTACAGCAGTGTATACTTTCCACCTGACAATTCCGACTAGTGTACCAGGTTGTTCTTTTAGACCGCCCAAAAGAATTTCCGTATAGGAACCCGTGAAGGTTATGATCCAAACTTAATCACGTATGACTGGATAACAGTTTTAAGGGGTATATTGGCTCAAATTGGCTCACTCGGACTGTGTGAAAATTACAGGATGGTATGATGAATGCACTATTGAGTGGCTTGCAGCCCGCAGGTTATCCTAAATTACACTCAGTATTTTGGTTGTTCATCGCAGGCGAACTCTGGCAACTCATGGGGGTTCAGGAGGTCGCAAGAATGAAATAACCGGGTCGCACGGAATTAACATGATGTTCTCCTCTTGTGGTGAAGATTACGGCCAAGAAAACACTGGACTACCGATTTATGTGAGAAAAATTTTGTCAGCAGTCAACCGTTTTGTGCACAGGTCAGATCGCCTTGCGTGTGGCTCGTTTCGAATATACTGACATTAAGAGCTGATAGTCTAACTGACCAGGGGCTGGATAGGTTTCGTCCCTTCTGTATGGATGCACTGCCATTGTGCTACTGGATTCAGTCAAGAATAGTATCTGGTCTCTTCGGGTAACCTTTCGATGGAGGCATGTTCCATACAAAACTCAAGAAGTTTTAGAAACCGCGATCTTCAGTTTAGAAGTCTGGACACCTTGTGGTTAGGCCACGAGCAGCTCGACGTCAGTGTGTAACTTGCACTTAGAGGGTATATAGCACCACTCAATCTGGAATCGCGGAATCTTTATTTCGTGGTTGTGTACACACTGACTCCTCGACTGGCGGCTTCCTAGGTAAAAGTTTCACTCATCCTTTGAAATTATTCTTCCCCTCAGCTGCTTAGAGAGTGATTGTAGTGTGGGAGAATATGGGGCTCTTCAATGGAGTTCTCATCCTTTCCTAATCTGGTTCGAATTGGTATCCATCGAATGGGTGCTGTGGCAGGATCCCACACATCTAATTCCCAGGACGCATTCAACAACCTTATTTTGCACCGTCCATTTGAAGACTATTCCATAGTCACGTGATTCGCAGTATTACCAATGGTTTCTCTAGCCGCCCACACTTTCTGTAATTTCTTTGAAGTAAGTACACAATATCAACAAACGCAATATCTGGGGCCATCAACATTAGTATTAATATTAATTTGGTTTTCACAGAAGACGCATCTGATTCCCCGTCGAATCCCTTGTTCAGGATTTTCTACCGCTGAACATGCTGCACCAGGCCGTCCCTAGTTAACTTGGTACGATATTGGAGATATTGGAGTACATTGTATAGGCGTAAGACACTACTCGTAGGGTTGTTGAAAACTCTGCATAAGCGAGAGGTTTAGCTAGGGCTCAGGCGAGTTTCTCGTGCACGCCAAATTGATACGCAGATGAGTGTACTTGACAAATTTCGTGCAACTTGGGTTCAATTAGAGCATATGGTTAATGGAAACTTGGGGACTGTGCCTTCCCAATGAGTCCCAGGAAGGGTAAAACCGGCAGCGGGCTGTCTAATAGTTATCAGCAACGTTATGAGTAGTATGCTGGGCCCTAAATTCATTTGCGTGTTGTCATCTTCAGCTGGACATCATTTCCGGGTCGGACAGTTGTCTCTGGTGCCACAAATTTGTCACAACGTATTGTTCACTCACCCATCCGATTTATTTGAAAACTTGGAATTCGAGTATAAAAATCTAGAATTCGTCCCCCTGGAGGCACTGTCCGTCATGAATTAGAACGAGCAATCATTTGCGTTGTGTCGACATATCTTTGATAATCGGGTTTTTTAGATCCACTCTAACTCACCGTATTTGTGAACCGAGCCAGGAAGACATCTTCAGGACCGGGTGGACAGTGATTAACTTATCAAAGTCTATTGCCCTTTTTGGATTGGATTTTGGAACATGACTAAAGAGAAAACTGGACACATTTTCCGACAGACTACTCATCACTAGATTTCCTAGTATGTAGAAAGTTTTTTCGGTAAACAAAAGTTTAAGCTGGGATGAGCTATCGTGATATTCCCACCATATTTTTCCGATGAGTTTTGGAAGCACCGGGCCTTGTCACTAATGGTCATTTTCCCCAACAGCATGAGAGATTTTGATTCCTCCTCAAAGTTTTTTAGGCTGGTAGGACTTGCAATCTGGAAATCAGTATAGCAAGACAGTTCATGCAATCGTAGCGCTGATCTCATACACGTAAAACCAATCCCTAATGGGTTTCAGAAAGCCCCTAAACGCACCCCAAACTTGGAGTGCTGTCTGAGGGATAGTGTACTCTGTGAGCAAGCCATCACTTTCCTCTCAGGGTGGCTTAAGACCTCTTAATCTTCAGCTCATCAGTTGTACAAAAGTTTGACTCAGTTATATGCCATCCTCTCCTATGTGAGCCAAACTGCTCATCGTTGACCATCCATAGATTTCGGTGGAGAACGTTCTCAGGGAAGCGAAACACTTCTGACTTATCCAGAACAGAGGAACATCGATTCAGGTTCTTAAGGACGAGCTTTCCCTATTGTGCATTGTGAGGTCAAATTGAAATAACGTCCAGATCAATAATTTGAGCCACCGCCGGCTCCTGAAGGTACCACTTCCAAACTTTGTCCCATCCCTCCAGCCCCAGAATTAATGATCCTTAAGTTTAACGTTTCATTCACGTTACTATTGTTTTGATTACCTTGGCCAACTGACGCTGTTCAAAGATGATAAGCTCCCTTTCAGCTGATTTTTACCGTCTTTTCCATGTCGTAACATACCTACAAGAATATGTCATCCTTTTGAAGGTGCCAGGTTTGTCTATTTTAATGGTACAGTAGTCTCCAGATCTGGTCAGTTCTAGTCGGTCTCTTTAGTTAGTATCGCATTCAGCTGGTGTTTGTAGAAGTCAGTCATTTTAAACACGTTGACAGCTAAGTGCATAATACCACGATTATTAGCTCTCTTGCGTTTTTATCATATTAGTTACCCAAATTGGATGTTCAGCTTCAATGGATATCATCTTGGAAATCTTGTGGAGTGAGGAAGACCAGTTTCAGAAACCACTTTCACAGCGGGTCCTCATTTAAAGCAAGCTTCAATGGTTGGTTTTTTAAATCTATATTACGAAACCTGGACATGCGGGTTGTGTTTATAAATGAAGGCAGAATAAAGAATGGATCACAATGGTTACAAATAACTATATCAGGATGTGGAACACAATCAGGAACAGATTAGTATTAGCGTTTTCAAAGCTTCTTCAGCAGCTTGGCCGCTTCATCCTTGACCTAAAAGTTGCCAATAGAACAACACGTTAAGTTTGGTTATCCCTGACAAAAAACCTACCTCCGCGACCTCGTAGCCAAGGTCAGGCAAATTCATGACCTTGGTACAATACCTTCTAACGTTGTCCCAGTCCTTCATCCTGTAGTAGCATTTGGCAATGATAATAAGTAAATTCGGTCTTGGATCATCAAGCACTTTTGAAGAATTGTTAGTTAAGTCGATCTCAACTGACAAGACCTACAAGCCTCGGCTTTGAGCAGATTGTCCAGAGCCTATCGAAGAATGCAGTGAAATATCAACTTAGCCGCTTGTAACTGACTCACCTCCTGGTAGGTGGAATCCGGTGGTTTTGTAAAGAACGCTTTAGCAAAGGAACGTTTCACATCCGAAAGATCTGTGACGTTAAAGCACCTGTTTACCGGATGTCAAAAATGGAAAATTATCATGACTAACCAAATCCCCACACATCCAATTGCCCATCCGTTTTTGGGTTCCATTTGTAATGCCCGCTATGAAAGAGGGAAATTTGCGTTAACGGATAGCCGTACAGCCGAAACTCACGTCCCATAAATCTCTGATTTCATAGGCGATTTTTATACGTTCGTTCGGTCCTACAAGTTCGGCATACTCGCTCTTGCATATTCCTTCCCACTTTTAGGAATTGATGCTATCAGCGCTTTTGGATGAGATCGACTTACTATTAGACATTCAGCGTTCGGCTGTTTGCCTTGATATCCTTCCTGGACGTCACTCAGAGCTTTTTTATAAATCTCCTTCAAGGTGTCCTTTGATGGCTTTCGTGGTTTGGCAGTTGCTTGAAGCAGTAGAAACCCGTATCAGTTAATGGCATCATCAACCTACTTGACACATAAGCCAGACGGGCTTTTCTCCAACCAACATCTGGACTGTTTGGCATACTACTCAATATGGCCTCCACTTCCTCAAACTTATTCTGCCTCAAAAGTTCATCTGCTCTCTCCAGCTTCGATGTCATTCCGGCTGGTTTGCTCTCAATGTTGCTACTAAATACGGTTTAAAAAACATACCTTTTTATACTACGTGTCAAGAAGTATGATAGCCGCGTCTGTCTCGCGTCATAATATTTGTGATACTGTGCCTGTAGGAAGCACATGACTTGTAAAATTCACATCATCCTTATGGCACTCACTGGTTTGTGGTTGGCTAAATGGTGTCAGACCGGATGCACACACTGAACACTTAGGGTCTAGAAAGCTATTGTTTTCACTCATGAGATCGGGTTTTTGTGAGAAGTCTGGACTTTGAGGAGACCGATGAGTTCTTTTGTTTACAAACTAATTGTCAGTTTGTAGAAAACATCAATAACAGCTTGGTAAATAAACAGTCCGAACTGGTTAGCTACCAGTGGGAAATGTAAGTGAACAATTACTCCAGGAATTCTGCTTATTCTTCTATGAGAAAATAAGAATATTGTGAATAACATTCTAATTCTAGTCAGTTAATTCTTTCACCAACTCGGTGCTTTGAACCTGAGAAGACAAAAACGGAACATTTCGAAGAAGTGATGAAAGTCTTGAAGCTCATGCAAGCGAGTTGCGAAGCCGGGTGGGATATCCACAGGCCACTTATAAAAGACTTGATTACCATTTTCAACATTTTTCCAGCAGTATTTCCGCCATCTTTCGAAATATGTCAAAAAAATGAAGTGAGAACTCAGCCGTTATGTGCATATTTTCCAAAGACTTGTGACGAATCAATGGATCTGTATGATGTGAATTTTGGCGAATTTTCTCAAGGAAGCAAAACACACTGACAAGGGATCTTGTCAGCTGGATTATTCGCACTTACGTGTGCCGTTTGTCCGGTCAACTGACTAGAAACCAATGGCCGGATTAACACGAATGAAACTAATGACAATAGAAAAAGTATATCAACATTAGCAAATCCATATGCACAACTTGCGAGAAGCAGAAAGGCGCTCGAAAAATGCAAACATGCTTGGAGGTATATTCAGATACCGTTTCAGGATTGTGATCAGTGAACCTTGTGCAGTGACCTGATCTAGGAATGGTGATAACGAAGCCAAGAGACTATCCATAACAAGTCCAATTACAAATAATTCTCCGACTCAAGGTTTCCAGAAAATCAGTCGAATCTGTCCACAACAGTTAGGCTTATTATGGATTATCTGTTGTCATCCTTCTTGGATTAGGTCACTGCACAAGTTTTACCAACCGCATCCTCGAAGCGTCACCTGGACACAACTCCATGCATCCCTCAGACACTCCTAGTTCGGTAAACCTGTATGTTTCACCCTTGTTGAAGTCTCTAGGATTATCAGAAAGCTCACGGGTATTGATATCCAACAAGTTTGTCAAGAAGTCAAACGCACACGTAACAGCACGCCTCTTCGGGGCTCAGTTCCTTTATTGCAATGTCGATTGCAATGGTTTGATTAAGTTGGAATCAATCGACATGCCATATTCGGCAAGTGATAAGACTAGATCGAGTGCCTACTCCACAAGCGATAACTGGATCCAAAAAAGTCACGCATGAAGTAGCCGGAACCATTTTTCACACCTATTGTGGTAATATGCCATCTCATGAATGAATGTATGAATAATGACACAATCTATCTTTGTATAACAATCAATCGTCAGAGTAGAGGTTCTATGAGAGTCAGCATCCGATACTGTGCTCTTTTACACTCAGTCATAAGCCGTACTGGATATAAGTGACAAACTACAACACATTCTGTGGACTGGCAGCTATGGCTTTGATCGCATGCCTTGGTTACCCAGTTGAAAATACAGTTGCCAAAAGGCCCTTTAAGGTCCATTTAGAAAATCCCACATGGAGCTGTCTCATTTCTGTTCTTTTGTTAGTCATCAAATCCTATCAACAACAACCACTTGACCGTAAATTAAAAAAAGAGTTTGCAGTAGAAAGAAGCATAAGGTCAGCAATATATACTGCATCTACACAGCACATGTCCAAAATGCCATAAAGTGAAATGTCAAACTAACAGGAGCAGTTCAATGTGATACTTATCCACACGTCCAGGATGACAAACAGTAAATTTTTATTTACTTGACATGCAAATATGCAAATGTCAGTCCCGAAGATGCAAGGGATGGTTGCAGACTAAATCGCCCCGAAACTTAGACAAATTGAGTGGAGACAAAAAATTTTTGTTGATGTTTAGCAGTGCTGAGAAGCGCTTTGTAACATTAACAAAGTTGACGACAGCCAAGCAGTCAGAGCTTTAGGGTTGTTAGTGAAAATCGGCTGAATTCTCGATGCATTGTTTAAGAAAAATGGTTCCAGCCATATCCAACAGCAGAATTCCATTTAAAAGTTTAATTCTGAATAGAAATGAGTATTCTGGCATAGAGTGGTTTTATTTATAGAAGGAAATCCGAATCGAAACTTTCCGAATCTCCTTACACTACTATCATGTTAAAACATGCCAGTAGATAGATTTCATAAGGCCTATGCACAATGGATATAGATACCTTATGTCAAATACCTCTCCAATTAGTTTTTTATCACTGTTTTAATATCGGTTTGTTATTTTTTAACTTTTAATTTTTCCCTAAAATCTATGTCGTTTACTATTTATTATCACTATGTTACTGAGATCACAGAATGTCAACGGTAATGCGGTTGCAGAAGTCCCCCGTTGAAGTATTGAAATACTTAACCGAATAAACTGATGTTCTGATTCCTTTGGAAACGTGCAAAACATCTTGATACATACCAGTGGTGAAAAGCCGGAGTATGTTTTAGTTTCTGACGCAATGTGTAGGCTGCCTTATTGAAGTTATGACAGTGGAAGTCATATATCCTACTCAAATCAGATGATTATACATTCTTAATTCTAAAAAGCACGTGATATTCAGAAATGAATAATCAATGTGTGAATTTTAAATCCGCCACGGTAAAAACTTGTGCATGCCTGCCCGATACAAGAGAGTGGTTTACGGGTCTTTGTGCATGATTCGTTCTATATCTGTGTTAACAATAAATAGTAATGAACGTTCAGCTGTAACACCTCTTCGGTGCTCTTCTGCAATTGAACTCTGAAGGAAACTCAATCTTTAATATATTGTCAGGTTGCCCAAACCTGGACAGGGGTACACAAGATGTTGAGGGTCGTTTTGAAACACAAACCCTCTGTTCAGTAATTTCGCGCCTCAACCACTAAGTTATTTCTGAGCTATTTTTTGGCCTACAACCCCGCTAATTACTCAAAAATATATATATATATATAATCTGTAGGGGAAGTAGTGAAAATCTACGCTTGTTTTTTACTTATTCACTTACCTGATTACCAATTTGGTTTTGACGGCAGACTCACCTGAATCCAAATGCATCACTCTATCTTGGGCAACTGAGTGTGTTACACCTGGCCATCGCATACATCAGGTGCTACGATAGCGAGATACATTGTATAGGCGTAATGCACTACTCATTAGGTTGCTGAAAGCTCTCCAAAAGCTTACGATCGATTTCTCCGTTCTTGGGTCTCATAAGGTGGGCGCATTCTCCGGGTTTTTGGCAGACTTCTGTCCTACTTCAACCCGAATTGGACTAATTGCAACAAATACACTCATTTGCAAATCAATTTATTTTTGACGGGAAACCCAAATGAATCTCTCGTTTATGATGATCTTCAACTGAGTGTGCTTCACACAGACCGCCTCCTGTTTCAGTTGGTAGGATGTTGGAGATATCGCAGTATATTTTCATTAAGGAAACTACTTACAAGCTTGCTGAAAACTCCTCGAGAGCCCACGACCGCTTTCGCCCTTCTTGAGGCTCATCAGTAGGCGAATTCCCCGAGTTTCCGTCAACTTCATGTTCTAACTGAACCAAATTTGCGCAAAGTTTGATTTATGCACTCATTTGCATGTCATTTTTTCACAACAGACTAGCCTGGAATGGTTTTGAGGTTGGGATGTAAAATTTGAATTTCTAAGTCGCGCTATGGAACCCTACAACCTGTAAGTGCACAATCGCGTAATTCGCATAGCAACTTGATTCCTCAGGATAGACAGCCCCTGATTTCAAATTACCACGCGCTCATGACTTTGTGATTATCCTAGCTCCGTTCGGACATGTGGAGTTGGAGCACTCCTTTCTGATCATCAGGCATCAGATTTCTGCGAAACTTGAGCGCAAGTGCTAAGCCTGAGCTCATCGGCGTGGTCATCCAAGCTAGCGTTTTCAAATGCACTCGGACTGTATTGGACACCCAGAACGATTAACCAAGCCGTAATTACATTTACTGGACCCTGTAACACTTAAGCGCAAGCAGTAAGATCTTTTGGTGACGAGGGGTCAGATTTCGCGTAACGCCTGTCAAGACTCGGTGAAGCGAGTTTTCTCGTTTAGTTGTGAATTATTCCAGTGTTTTTATCACCTCTGATCCCATAAGTATTATGATGGCTGCTGGAAAATTACTTTCATGTGGTTAAAGTGGTAAGTTTACAAGTGTCGCTGGTTTTAGGCTAGAATATATCCAAACATGACCTCTGGCATTGACGATGCATTCCTTTATCATGTGTGAGATTGTTATGACTGATAAGCTATGTAGCTGTCATAGATGGTAAGTCAATAGTGAACCAGTCAGTGTTCACGAGGGTAGTCGGAGAGAACCTAGTAGACCATATTTTAAGGTAACAGGAAGTTAACTGGGAAACTAAAAGCCCGTCAGTTCAGTTTGGTCAGTAGAACTCGCTGGGGTAAGTCTGGATCAGAGCTTATCTCTTATTGTTGCTCGAAAGATCAATGAATGTGGATTGTGGTCTCAGCAGCGCTTCCCATTGTAAACAACCACTTCTTTGTGATCTCAAATGGACACGTGCAGCTGGTTGGTACGTTGATAAAGTGAACAGTAACCCCGGTTGAAACGGCCGAGTAAAGGATTTGGTAGACAAGCTTTGGTGGTTTTCATGGCAATTAAAAGTACCAGTTTTCCGGCAGAAAGCGTCTAGTGAAGCGCCCAAATGA